GACGTTGGTGTTTCGCTCTATTTTGTGGCCAGAATTTGTTTTGTACTCTGATGAAGATTTAATTTCCTCATGTTTACCATATCTGAGTAATTGAAATTTCTCATCGTTGAACTTCATATTGTTTTCTGCAGCCCACTGAAAGATTTGGTTGATGTCCGCCTGGAGCCTTTCAGTGTCTGCAATGGAAGACACTGTCATGCAGATTCGGGTGTCATCTGCAAAGGAAGACACGGTGCTGTGGCTGACATCCTTGTCTATGTCGGATATGAGGATGAGGAACAAGATGGGAGCTAGTACTGTGCCTTGTGGGACAGAGCTTTTCACCGTAGCTGCCTCGGACTTTACTCTGTTGACGACTACTCTCTGTGTTCTGTTAGTGAGGAAATTATAGATCCATCGACCGACTTTTCCTGTTATTCCTTTAGCGCGCATTTTGTGCGCTATTACGCCATGGTCACACTTGTCGAAGGCTTTTGCAAAGTCTGTATATATTACATCTGCATTCTTTTTGTCTTCTAGTGCATTTAGGACCTTGTCGTAGTGATCCAGTAGTTGAGACAGACAGGAGCGACCTGTTCTAAACCCATGTTGCCCTGGGTTGTGTAACTGATGGGTTTCTAGATGGGTGGTGATCTTGCTTCTTAGGACCCTTTCAAAGATTTTTATGATATGGGATGTTAGTGCTATTGGTCTGTAGTTCTTTGCTGTTGCTTTACTGCCCCCTTTGTGGAGTGGGGCTATGTCTGTTGTTTTTAGTAACTGAGGGACGACCCCCGTGTCCATGCTCCCTCTCCATAGGATGGAAAAGGCTCGTGATAGGGGCTTCTTGCAGTTCTTGATAAACACAGAGTTCCATGAGTCTGGCCCTGGGGCAGAGTGCATGGGCATGTCATTTATCGCCTGTTCTAAGTCATTTGGCGTCAGGATAACATCGGATAGGCTTGTGTTAGTCAAATTTTGTGGCTCTCTCATAAAAAATTCATTTTGGTCTTCGACTCTCAGTCTGGTTAGCGGCTTGCTAAAAACTGAGTCATATTGGGACTTGAGTAGCTCACTCATTTCCTTGCTGTCATCTGTGTAGGACCCATCTTGTTTAAGTAGGGGCCCAATAATTCTGCCAAAATCGAGGAATTATGCAAAATTTTGGTCGTTGTCATGACCTGGCTAGGGCTGGTCAAACTAAATATTAATCAATCTATAACAGTTGACCTGTACTGGTGTATAAAAATAAATCCTTTAGCAGTCAGTGAAATTGGTTTAATTGACCTTTCAGTAGAAAAATATCGATTTTTAAAAAATCCATAATAATTATACCAGTGCTGTAGGTGCCGGAAAAATAGGCAAGAAAGAAGACAAAGAGGAAAGGAAAGTTAAACACTGAGGAGCTAAAGGTTGGAAGGAAGTTTTAACGACTGAGGGTTTTAAGCCCTTGAGGCTTAGGAGGAACAGATAAAAGTCCAGCTGGGGAGGGCTGTGTGAGAAGAGAAACAGGAAAAGTGGAGGATGACGTAGGAAGAATGGGCGAAGGCGAAGAGGTGGAAGCATCAGAGGGGAGCACTGCATAAAAGTTTAACACAAGGATAACTGAAGAAGAGAGAACATCAGGTACCTGACGGGGACGAGCCACTTAGGAGTAGGAGAGCCGTGGAAGTATTCTTTGGAGATGGAGCTGAGTCACTGCCATAGCGAAGGATATGGCCTCCCTTTCCTTAACAACGAATTTCACGTTCTCTCAAGTAAAGAAGGCATTGGTGGGAATACGTAGTTTAGGCAAATGGGAGGCAGGCCACAGGATGGATTATTATGATCTGCTACGTTCTGCCGGTTATTTACAATACTTGGCTGGGTAGCCAAAGCGCCAGCAATGTCTGCAGTGTTCAGGTGTAGGGAGTAGCTTCCATACCTATAGGCGTTGGCTCGCTATATAAAAGGAAGCAGGACACTCCCGGCAGTTGAAGTTAGTTTAGTAATGTTCTTAGGAAAACATCGACCCCGGGCAGGGCGGACATAAGCCTCTACTTTGGCGACTGGAAAGGTTTTAGAACTCAAGTCACTTTTGATTGTCCGGGCTGCTTGCAGAAAGTCTTGTTGGATAATATTATATGGGATGAGTATATAACCACAACTAGAACTGAGAAAAGAATGTCTTTGTATTATTACAATGATGTTAACCGAGTGGAGGGAAAGACTGTCAGCTTGCTCAACGCCCTTTACAGTGACAATGCACGTCCCACTCTTGAGAACCTGAGAGGACACATTTTGTCCAGTCTGCCTCATGAGTGCTTTTATAATGTCATGGTCAATGAGGTAAGCCGTAGGCATGGCAGGCTGAAGATATACGAATTTCGTATCTCTTCAGGTAGCGCGTTTCTTAGGGTTGGAGCGAGAAGGAATGTGTGTGCAAGAACACATGGATCGTCAAGTATGAGTCGAAGTCATTTGGACTTTGGCGTCGAGCCAAACCGTCAAGTGGCGTGCAATCGATTCGAAAATCAACGCA